TTACACAAATTGGTTTCTTTTAGTAACCAGACCGACAATGTTTTTCTGGGTTTGGTGCGCACCAATAACCCATTCTTTTGGACAACAAGCCTCACCGTCCCGGCAATCACAACCCGAACAGCTCCCGCAAAAGATCTTGATGAACGTATCCCGAAATGCTTTGCTCATGGCACAGTAAAGCAGAAAGTTAAACGCCGAGTTAATAGCCAAAAGCGTGTCAGTTATTTCGCGAATACCTCGCACTAAGTTCGACTCGTCGTAGTAACCGAAGCCGAACACCGTCGACATAATGGCATCCGGCGTCACACAGATAATAAAAACGATCACGACAATTATTAGCATCAAGGTGATGCGGTTCCGGGAGGAGAGTTTCTTGCCCGGCACTCGTGACTTTCTCAATTCGTGGATGATGCGGGCGTTCAGGAAGACGAGTATTAAAAGTGGCAGCAAAGTCCGTACGCAGTTCTGTATCCACGTGTACGGCGTCATGAAAGCATTGTTGCTGCCAAGTTCCGTCAGGGCCACATCAAGGTAGGTGGCGTTCGTGATCTCCCTCCGCCGGAGCACTGTCTTGTAACGAAGCGCCGACGGAAGCGAGAAGACCACCATGAAGACGAAGACGAACGTGCTGACGATTCGAGCCCTGTAAACGGTACACATTTCCTTCGCCCTAGTCGGGTGACAGATCGAGATATAGCGCTCAAACGCCACAGACACCGTCAGCCATCCGGTAATGCAAACAGACAAGTTGAATAAATAATGCGCGTAAGGATAAAGACGTGCTAGCGACTCGTCACCTCTGAGGGGGTTCCATGTTTTAATTAAGAGAACGATGAAATACAATGTGTCATTGATAAGTTTAATGGTGTCCCCGACGGCCAATGCCGACAGGTAGACGTTGGTGGACGTGGCAAGATCCTTGTGGGAGAGAACGATCAAGGTGAGGATGTTGCCAGTGATACCAAATATACAGGTTATGGGATAGACAATAAGGCCCGTGATATATTGGGCCATATGGTAGAATTCTTCATAGCTGCGATCGCTGGAATTAGTTGTTATCTCGCTCAGGTTACATAGGATATCCGAAGTTACAGTTTCCATTGTGTTTTCATATTTGACCCCAAAATCTCAGCACCTGGAAAAAAAAAAAATTAAAAAAGTTAAAAAACCAAAAAAAAAAAAATCGAAAAAATGCCACTCTGAAAATAAAATCATTAACATTAATATCACATTACTGATTGCTAGATGTAAATTGTGTCCTCCCTCTACGAGTATGTTAGACTCTTCCGCCTACTATATATTTAGTAGGAGAGAAGGTTCGGGGAACAGTGAATATAGCTAGTTCATTCGATACACTCTCACTAGTCGTGTAATACTCTTCTGGTGTACTTTAATAAACGATATATCTACAAACCTGTTTTTTGTTATTATTTAACCATTTACTTGGTCACAGCATCTTAGTTCACTGATCCCTGTTCCCTCCATCCTACTAAAATTATAGCTTAATGTTTAGGCTTTGGTTCTGAAACATGGTAATTCCTGTGTCGATATATATATATATATATATATATATATATATATATATATATATATAGAGAGAGAGAGAGAGAGAGAAATTTTCATAGAAAATATTCGTCCTCAGGGAGGAATCGAACCTGTATCGTTCGATTAGCAAGATGAAAGATTGAAGTATAAAAGCAGTAAAATCGACCTTGATAATCAAACGATCCTCCGTGCCTCGTTCGGTTAAGGCACGTCAGGCTAAATGACGGTTCCATATAGAATACAGGCTCGATTCTTGTCGGAGGATGTATATTTTCTATGAGAATTTCAGACATTCAGGCCGGTAAATGTTATTAATACTGTTTATTATAAAACAGAGCATTTACTTAAATATTTGTATCTATAAAAAGAATGTATAAATATAAAAATGTCTTAAATATATATATATAAATATAAAATGTCTTAATATATATATATATATATATATATATATATATATATATATATATATATCTTACTTATTATAAAACGCAGATTGTGTGTGTGTCTGTACGTTTATATATCGGATCGTATTTTCTACATTTTTCAACCGATTTCAACAAAACTTCACAGGACTATGTACAATTACCTTGCGGTGGTTTTAACAGCGTCAAAAATTGGAAAAACACAATTGTTTTTGCACGAAATCAATTTGAAAACGCGATTAAGAGGCATCACGAGAATGAAAGAGGGACAACTCATATCGAGTTATACTTATTATAAAACCCAGGTTGTTTGTGTGTGTGTGTGCGTGTGTGCGTATGTGTGTGTGTGTTCGTTTATATATGGGATCGGATTTCTTACATTTTTCAACCGATTTCAACAAAACTTCACTTTTTTTTGGCAGGTAGGGTTTCTTATTGTCTTGCACACTTTTTTCTTTATTTTCACATTCAGAATGCTTTAAAAATTTCATTTACAAGACAATTGTTTATAATAAAATTCTATTCAATCGGTAGACCCATAACGATTGAAAACAATGTTTTTGTTTGAGTTTGATCAATTCGTAAAAAAAAAAGATAATAATTAAGATATCCGTGTCCGTCAACCTTAAACAATAATCTTTGTCAATTTTATTTTTCAGTCTTTATGATGGTCGATACTTGATCTATCTCTTACTGTTACATCCCCGGGCAACGCCGGGCTCTACTGCTAGTATATATATATAAGTGGATATTGAGCTCAACGTCCAGCGGTGACATTCTGTTTGGTGAATAAGTACAATCTTCAGGTCTTTTAACTAATATACAATAAAATAGATAATAGGGGAGATAAAATAATACAGGAAATAACAATTAAATAATCATAATAATACAGATATATAATAAAAATATAAAACTATCATATATCCTAGCGATAGATAATATGTGTTTGTTTGCGTGACAAGAAAAATGTATTTTTTATCTACGTGTATTAAATCGACCCTAATTAGTTTCTCTCGATATCGGAGATTAGAAAAATTACTTATTGTTTGTATCATCGAAATTAATATCTCCCGTATTCCCCGAGGATACAACCTTTTGAAGTCATTTCTCTTCCCCACTTTTTTTTTAGATAAAAAAACTGATTAAATATCAATAAAGATATCTTTATTAAATATCACATCCTAATAAAAACAATGGCGTCTGTTTACATAAATCTCCGTAAATTATTTGTCATTGACGTTTTATAACAAACTAGCGTTTGCTGATTATATTCTTTTTAACCTTGAGACTGAATACACGGGACGAACAATATTTTAATTAAAAAGAAGGCGAAAACTGGCACTCAATTAATACTTTATTAAATAAAAATAAATAATCTCTGTATACCACAGTAATGGCGTCTGTTTATCTGTTTATGTAAATCATTGTAGTTTATTTCTAGTCTGTTTTAACGCGACTTAATTATTTTTCAACTATGGTATCTCGATTGAATATCCGATCTGAATATTGTTTTTGCTTGATGAAGTGGTGGCTTTATTGCCTTCCTTCAGGTATAATGGTTTTAAAACATAATGGTAATAATTTCCTAGTCTAACTGTAAATATTATCTTATGACGAGACTTTCCTTTAATAAGCGTAGTTTGTCGGGCACATAATGATAATGATGTTTGCTTAATTAATGACAGATCGAACCAAATGAAAGGTTTGTGTGCCACTCAAAGTAGAGGTTTACTGGATTTAATTTGGTTTGGTTTGGTTTGGTTTGGTTTCTTTTACGGCATACCAACCTCAGTGGATGATAACCGACAAGATTTTTATTGCTGGTAATATTTTTTTTCTATAAGTATATTCCTGTTAATATTTTTTTTTTCAAAAATTGTATTGCTAGTAATATTTTTTTTTTTTACAAAATGTACTGCTGGTAATAATTTTTCCTAAAAAGTATTGCTGGAATTAAAACCTATTTTTATACTTTCATAATGTTTTGACCTGTTTTGTGGGTGGGATTAACTATTTGCCCATGGCTGGGACCCTGACAGATGCTACCACACCGTTTCAGAGTGGACCTGGAAAAAACAGGTGGTTCCATGCTTCTCAAAACCTCCTGATCAAAGGCCTTGGTGTGGGACGCGGATGTAGTTTATCGTCTTACCCAGGACGCGGATGTAGTTCATCGTCTTACCCAGGACACGGATGTAGTTTATCATCATACCCAGGACGCGGATGTAGTTTATCGTCTTACCCAAGACGCTGATTTAGTTTATCATCTTACTCAGGACACGGATGTAGTTTATCGTCTTACCCAGGACGCGGATGTAATTTATCATCTTACCCAGGACGCGGATGTAGTTTATCGTCTTACCCAGGACGCGGATGTAGTTTATCGTCTTACCCAGGACGCGGATGTAGTTTATCATCTTACCCAGGACACGGATGTAGTTTATCGTCTTACCCAGGACGACCGTATTAGGTGGTAGGAAGAGACGGTTATGAGGATAAGAATGATAGCTAGTGACTGATCGTTCACTTGAAGGGGTTACGATTTTTGTGTTCAGTGAAACACTCACGCATGATGTTTTCCACAGATGCTTCAGTGAGAACTGTATGAGTGGAACTTTATTCTCACATTTGGAATACGGGGGCAATGAGGGTGTTTCGGCACCGTGTAAGTAGCACAGCATGTCCGAGCTGTCATGTTCTGAATTGGTGGAATTAGATTACGGAATTCACCTGAACATTTGCCATGGAAATAGCGATTGTGTAGCAACAGATTTGCAACGTGGCGACAAGAACCTAATGACGGTTGAAGGATACAGGGATCGAAACGTGATGATAATAACACAAAAAGATAAGAACAATATTTCTCGTTCGATTACCGAAGTTAAGCAACGTCGAGCACGTCAGTAATTAGTTGGGGGACCGCTTGAAAACACCGACTACCTCTTACAATGCAAACTTCGGCTTGAAGTAACCTTCAAAGGTTTCATAATCCGTAAAACAAATCAATCAGTGGCTCAACGAAGTTAAGCAGCATCGAACCTGGTCAGTACGAAGATGGGTGACCGCTTGGGAAATCCAATTGCTGTAAGCTTCGATATGCGGGTGGGGTAATCAATAATGACACGGAATTGTTAATCGGAAAACCGAGTTCAAGTTCATGTTGGATACATTATATTGACTCAATACACTCGGGAAAATTATGAATCCACATCTTCTCCCCCTAGATATAGGTTAATTAGTAAGATTTGTATTACTAAAGTATTATTATATCCTAAAATATTAAAAAGATATATAAAAATTAAAAAGAAACTATGGGGTTAAATAACCTGCCAATATATATTTATATACTTAGAGGCGACAGTCTGTTTCATGCTAGATGCAATCGTCAGGTCAATCTTGGCCTGACGATTGACATTTAGCATGAAACAGACTGTCTCCTCTAAGTGTTGACTTCAATGTCCACTTTTATTTTTACATACGCTCTATCTCTGAAATTGAACACTTTATCCCATAAATATTATATTTCTTCAAAATATATATATATATATATATATATATATATATATATATATATATATACGATTGCATCTTGCATGAAACAGACTGTCGCCTCTAGGTGTTCACTTCAATGTTCACTTTTATATTTACACACGCTCTATCTCTGATATTGAGCACTTTACCCCATAAATATACCACATCTTAAGACTATATTTCTTCATATATATATATATATATATATATATATATATATATATAAATGTAAATGTAACAAATCCGTTGGTATATAATCCAAGTGTATTCTAGTAATATAAGATATTAAAACTGATCCACAAAAAGAGCTCGATGTATTTATTATTACAGAGCACAAAATCAATAAATAATAAAATCCAAAATCACCTCATGTGAGGAATAGCCTATTTCGGCAGACAAAGATATCAGTTGTCTGTCTTATTAACCCCGGTGTGGACTGAGTTCGTGTCAGATATTGAAAATTAACCGTGAAAATTAAAAATAAATAAATAAATAAAAATAAAACCAGTTGATAAA